GGTGTGGCTTCAATCTCATCAAAAACGTGGAAAAACATGCAGATTAATATAAATATTCTTATATACTTACCGAAACTTGAGCTCGGCTAACGGTTACGCCTTATCATCAACGAGGGGCATTTCACTCCAAAAAAGCGTACGGGATTTTCGGATTTTTAAAAATCCGCGGATTTTTTAGCGGATTTAGCGGATTTTTCCCGGATTTTTTAGTGGATTTTTGAGGAGAAAATTTGCTGGATTTTCCGGATTTGTTCGGATTTTCCGGATTTGTTCGGATTTTTATCTGGATTTTTGAAAATCTGTTGGATTTTCCGGATTTGTTTGGATTTTCCGGATTTGTTCGGATTTTTTCTGGATTTTTTAAAATTATAGAGTTATAGAGCTAGGTAACGTTTTGAACAAATAATCTTAAAGATGCGGTAAATTCCTTTCTGCGCATATATTCTGCGCATCAAAACATTCCATCAGTGGGAGAGCATATACTCGAGCGTATAAATGGAAATGTAGAGTGGTCCAATAATTACGAAATATAATGACAGCGATCACGGTAAGCGTTTAGCTTTCGCTGTCCGCCATTTTGAACGTGACAAAGAACCTTTACGAGTAAATTACACCAAGTACTTTATATATTTTTTGTGGATTTGCGGATTTTTTGAGGATTTTGAAGGATTTCTGTGGATTTTTGAAGGATTTTTCGGATTTTGATGGATTCAACGGATTTTGAGGATTTCATGGATTTTTTCTGGATTTTTTCCGGATTTTTTGACGAAGTGTACGGGATTTTTGGAGTGAATTGCCCCTCGATCATCAACACTATAATACAACAGTATAAATAGGATACTGATGAGGTAAGATCCGGACTTACGGGTTGCCATCGTTTACTGAATAAATAAATATGCATGCATGATGTTTCTTCAAACATTAAAAGAATTAAACAAATAGAAATCAAAATAGGATCATCACTTTTATACAATTCAAGTGCATGAGGGTTACTGTATCTGCATGAATTAACATTCGCTTCCGCGAATAAACATTTATCATGAGCGTATTACACCCAAGGCCAAGATCGTTGTACATTTCCTCAAAAATACGAAAACAATCTACAAAAATAGCAATAAAAACCCTGGGAATGACTCAGTATCCGCGAAATCTCCTCAAAATCTATATGATCGAGCCAAAAATGTCCTTTAAACTCCGCAGAAAATTTTGCAAAAATCTCAAAATCCCTATCCTGGATTAGCTAGGGAAATCCTCGTACGCTTTTTCATGACTACGTACACGCTTCTCATTTTTAAATTTATATTTACGAGTTTTGCCTTTGTCTGGACAAGTCGAAGTTATGCAAGAAGATATAAAAGCATTTCTGACCGTCTTGTAATTATTTCTTTGTCAAGTGCCACTCAACTTATATGTTGACTGTTGTTATGAATGTTTGCAGCACGCATATAGATAATATAATAATTTACGGCTATATATACGTTGCTAATTTATGCTTCTTTTAATTTACAAATTAATTTTATTCTATAGTGGCTAAATGTGAATCTTATAATGTCCTTAACTGCATGGTAGGAGTCTTTAATGTGTTAGGCTAATTCTGGGGCTGGTTGTATAAAACTCTTAACTACATTTTAATCACTGTTTTGCAGTGTAAGTGAACTTTAAAATCGTATACGCGATTTTGATTGGTCATGCAACTTTGGCACTAACTGCAGTTAACTTTAATTACCTGTTTATACAAATTCATCTTGCATCTTTCGTCGCCCAAGTTGTTTTTCTAAGAAAATTTTAACTATGTATGTTCATATAGTCATATAATTGGACCAAGAAAATGAAGGTGTTATTAGTTTTCCTGACCGTTATACAATCTCAACAAATAAGCTTTGGAGAAAAACCAGGTATGTTAGAAATTAATATATATATACAAGTATTATCAATAAAAACTACTCCATTCATATCAGTAATTGTATATCATGCATCCTGCATCTTCCTTAATTTTCCTTGCTTACTAGTTTTAAAGGTTTTTCTATTTTTACTAAAGAAATCGCTGACGTTCGTCTTCAAAGACATGAGCATGAATTAAGTGAATGTGAGAATATTAAAGAAGAAGTATGTTCTCTGTGTTTGCAGATACCCGGATGTGCATGGTGCACCTTGAAGGTGACCGTAATGTTTTGATGAGAATATTTGTTTTGGTGGGAAATATCAATACATTTGCATGAAGACTGGGACGTATATAGATTTAGTTTCTCATGTTTGATCATGAAATCTATACAAAATAGACTAAACTGCATGCTCTATTATCGAGTTAGTTACATATTAAAGAAGCCATGCATATAATTCCTTTTCTATTATTCTTTGCTTCCTTGTTTTTCTATATAGTTTAACTTGTATAATATACCGTAGTTTAATGTGTATATTCTTTAATTTGTAAGTATAGTTATTGTGTGACGCCCCTCATGAAAAGCAGCTCACGTTGATCGAGGCTAGCGTGTTTAAATAAAGTTTTACCATACCATACCATACCATACCATACCATACCATACCATACCATACCATACCATACCATACCATACCATACCATACCATACCATACCATACCATACCATACCAAACCATATCATACCATACCATACCATACCATACCATACCATACCATACCATATCATACCATACGATACGATACCATACCATACCATACCATACCAAACCAAACCTAACCAATCAGAATCGCGTATTTTAGAAATAACTACCATTAACTGTCTTTTTCTTTCATTCATTATTAGGATTACGAGCATACTCGCTGCGACAAAGAAGCAAATCTTATCAAGCTTGGTTGCCCGGGAAATCACACGATTAATCCAAAACAAAATGTTACGGTATATAAAATGGCTTCGTGAACAAGGCCGGTTGTTAAAGGGCGGTAAAGGCAAAGCATGATTATAGCGCTACAACGGCCTTGAGGTCTTTGAAAAACTCACTCGTGCATGTTATATCCAAATTGCACACGAAACCATGCTATTATATACCTATACTTATAAATATATGCTGTGAGGAAAGTTACTTTGGAGTTTATAGGTTAACCTATAGGATTAGTATATATATAGGAATAGGATTAAGCTAACCGACTTTCGAACAACCGGTTCATGGCAATGCCTCAATATTACATCTACACATGCAATATTGTTAACATTTGCGAAAAATTACCGAGTATTGCATGTGCATGGACACGAGCATGTACGTGAACCGTGGACCATATATTAAGAAGACCAAGACGCTATATCAAGCATAATTATTTAATATTTCAGGTGGATAACGAAAGTCATGATGCTTCAACGAGTCAAATACTTCCAAAGAAAGTCACGTTAACTGCCAGAGTTGGTAAGTACCGTACAAGATCTGAAGAATCACTATATATAGGAATACTGCTTTCGAGATACTGTACATGCCAAAGCTGAGGAGGCTATAGCGTATAGGTATTACTGGAGTAAAACCGTGGTAGGGTCAAGACCATGTAGCGGCACTCATAACCAATTTTGTGTGCAGTGATAACCAATTTATGCAGTGATAGCGTGCAGTGATAAACAGTAAAAATGTGCAGTTATAACATTTGTGATATTGAAATTTTTATTAATTAAATTGCGATAAAAGCAATCAAATGCACTGTTTGGCATAGTGGTAGACTTTTCTATTATTTGTAGTCCTGTATTGGTTAAAAAAGTCTTGCCATGAATTGTTTTTATAGTGGCCGATATATGGTTGTATTTTCAGTCTATCTAAAGGGTGTTGCCCTCCACAAGTAATCTCCGGACTGACATACCTTCTATTGCTTAATTAAGGAATGTGAGTGGTTAAAGGGATTCATAAAATTAGTTATGGCGGCACGGCTCAACAACTTACCTAGAGCTGTCTTCACAAATGTAAAACAAATGTCAGTATGCATGGGGTTAGACAGCGATATATCAAGTACAAGGAAAGAGATTTGTCAATGTATAAACATGTTAACATGTTGTCTAGGTGAACCAGTAACTTTCACTGTACATGTACGACCTGCAGAGAACTATCCCGTTGATCTGTATTTTCTTATGGACTTATCCAAAACAATGCAGGATGACCTTGGTAATCTGAAGTCACTGGCTGGAAATATTTGTAAGTACATGCAGTTCTTTAAAAAAATATATAGTTCTCTGAAGATTGAAGTTAAGAATTTCAAGGCTAGGACATTTTCCTAAAGTCTCGGTCAAACGAGGATGGGATGAATGTTTACGACCAATGCATTTGTAATGACGTCATACCTTGTATTTTCCAAATATCATAAAAGTTTCATAAAGTGTAGATCTTCATATCTTTCTTAAGATGAATCCTGTATATGGAGATTAAACAAATCAGGCGAAAGCATACAATCTGGTTTAATGACTCTTTATATTTCAATGTCAGGAGATTGACTTATATGAGCTCATAATTATACCGCTGTTTGTAACAACTGAAAAACTTCTTTCTCGACAGCTACAAAATTACGAGAACTAACAAGCAAACGCAGGCTGGCTTTTGGATCTTTTGTGGACAAGGTTGTTCCACCATTTGTAAAATATGAATTGTGAGTATGCTTAATGTTAAGTTGAAATAGCTGCAGGTTACGTCAAACGTGGACTGAGTGTAATCACTGACATGCATGCATGCATGCACATGCATGCATGTATACAGGGTGTATCAAAATAAACGCAATTCATCTTTTGTGCTTAATAACTTTCGAAATACTATTTCTAGTTAAACGCTTTTATAGGCTTACTTCAAAGCCTGTTCTTTTCTTTTTCAAACAAACTATTATCCTTGTCTCCAATGCTAGTAATAATTGCACAGGAAAAGATTTAGTAAAACCTATCATTTTAGTTGCTGTTTAATTATGCAAGTTTACTATGTTATTGTTTAGTCGGTTTAAATGTTAGAATTTTCTTCTTTAAACTTTAATATTGTCGTCACTACATCTGGAAAACCACGTAAGAACAAATTAAAAGTATTTTAAAAGAGACCAGGTTGTTTGAAAATCCTAAACGAATGCTAAAAATCGTCAAACATTCTGGTGTCTGAGCCAGAGTGTCATCGAATTGCGATGTAATGTAAACTGAAATTATAGCAAGTTGATGTCAGTCAGCTTAGATGGTCCAAGCCAAAATTATATCGCATTTGAAGTTTCAAACTGTGTTAAAAATAGTGGAAGAAAAGCCGTAATTATACTTATTGTTACAATCCATTTATTAAAATGCAACATTTTTTTGTTTTAATGAAAAATCAGTTATTTTCATGAGAACGATTTGTTATTCCATCTCAATTTTTTTAATCTCTAATCGCAATAACGTAAAGTATTATTACCCGCGAACCAATGAGTCAAATTTAAGAAACAACCCACTGTTAGAAAGCTGAATGGCTACGCTTTAAAATGAATGTAAACTTTAACGTTTTCGTCTATTATTTGTTTAGCAATTTACATTTCAGTCGAGGATTGCGCTTTTTTTGATACACCCTGTATAACTACCGCATATTTGATAAAAACATATTTATTTTTTATGGCAAAATATATTACAACTGTTCTAACTCATCAGACCATATTCTTTTGTATTTCGTCGGTTTTTAACTCCCCCGTAATAACCTTCAGTCTAAAAGCAGGCGGTGGTATTTGATTTCTCCGGGGGAAATACGGGGTTGAAGGTTATTACGGAAAAATAATAACCGGGTAGCAGGTTATTACGGAAAAATAATAACCGGGTAGCAGGTTATTACGGAAAAATAATAACCGGGTAGCAGGTTATTACGGAAAAATAATAACCTGCTAGTCTGCTACCAGGTTATTATTTTTCCGTAATAACCTGCTACCCGGTTATTACGAAAAAATAATAACCAGTTACCTGGTTTTACATTTTCAATTCAAGACCTGAGTCTTGAATTCGGGACTTGAATTTGCAGGAAAACTCAAGACCCACATCTCCTTTTCGACTAGAAAACGTTGCACGTCTCTAAGTCGAGAAAGAGACAACAACAGCCGTGTACCTCAGAGCCCGTCAAAACTCTACCATTAGGTAAGAGTAATTTTTTATTAAAAACCCCACATAGTGTATATCACTACGGGGAATCAAAATTATTTGACACACAATTCACATGCATTAGATTACATTAAATTATTTACATTAAGTCACACAAATATTGACTGTTAGATCAAAGTTCGAATTATACCGTTTGTGACACATGCTAAGACATTGTTTAAACACCATTTTGACTCAAAGTTTTTCGTGCCCATGATGCCCTGTTCTGTTTCTAATCGAGTTCGCACATACTTCCTAAAATATACAAGACTGTTGATTTTCTCATCCTTCCTAAACTGATATGACACGCGCTCTTTCCACGCGGAAAATTTGCCAACAC